CGTGGACTAAACGTGCAACATTTCCGTCTCGTTTTCCGCGCATTGCAGTTATCAGAGTACTGCGGTTTGCGATTACACGGCCTTATCACTTGCGACACGGCAAACAACTCGCGTTCCCTTGCCTGGTCAGCAGACAAAACAGGACATATTTCACGCGGCCGATCAAATTATATGTAAACATGCAGTCCGCACCGCGAAGAAAACACCACACTTCACCGTTACGTTACAAAGATCGACTGGCTAACGCTGTTTACGGAAATAATCGCTGTTTATTCCGAGATATAAACGCTCTGTGGCAAAAATGCATAGCTACTGAATGTTAAAGCAGGTGGTATATATCGTTACCAATAGCCCAAAAGCAGCGATTCCGTGGTCAGTACTCGAATTTCATATTGAAACTGTCCTGAATTCGAAACCTGGGAGGTAGATTTACTATCAAAGACAACTTATTATTAAAATTAAATAAGCTCAAAAGGTACTCGAAAATGATCCGTCAAGAATGATAGGAAAATCGGAACCGGTATTCAGAGAAAAAAAAAACACATTTTTACTCAAAAGTCTAACAACAGGAACCAATTTCCAGGTCACAGATGGAGAGCTCATGGGTCTAAAGACAGGAAACAGCGTTTTTTAGGTACGAAGTCAAGGCCATGTGGATCTACGCTGTTCTGCTGGCTGTCACTTTCCATCAAATAAATTAAAGAGAAGAAAGAAAACAGGATTTTGAATGTATGTATTTTGGTGAAACTTTTGGGCAGTATATAAATTAGCTACCGATTCTTGTTTACTCTGTTAACAAGAGATTAACAACCAACCAACCAACACTTCTTTACTACGTAAACAGATTTTGTACCCACAGCATTCACCGCAAATAACATTTTCATTAACATGTGACAGAAAACATGTCGCTTGAATGACACACTGGTTCCAAAATACTGATAATATTTACGCTGCTTCGCTATTCTCCATCTTCTAGCATGCGACAGTCATTTATCAGTCGCACGAACCATCAAGCCATCCATCTCGCCACCGTTCATTTACGCGGGAGCAGTCGAACTCGGGTTTGCCAATCCGACGACTGACATTATTATGCATCCTACAGAGCCACTGAGATAGCATTTGCTGCGAATCAGTGATAGGGGGGGAAATTTTCAACCTGAAAACAGAAGAAATCATATGAAATAGCAACTGAAATAAAAAACCCAAAGCACAAATTAACCAAAGGCAAAAACGACGTTTAAATGTTGGTGAATTTTAACCATCTGGCACAGGGGGACATGCTACGCTTTCCACGGCAGCGTCGGCTCTGTGATGCTTTGTGCACGTGGTCTTTGAAATGACATGAGCAGAAATGACACAAAAGCCAAGCTACTGATCCAATATTACAAAAAGTTGACTGCCTTCTCAGTTGTCATGCTGTGTAGCCTGGCGAAGGTTTACAGGTCTTTTGGAAATGTCCACCGCCTGCATCACCACTGTTGCGATGATAGAGCTGAATGCACCTGCGGAATATCAGAAAACTTCTACCAGACTACGCAGCACAACGGCCGAGAAAACAGTTGCGTCCACTGCCACGAGAACCTAAATCTCAAATACTGAATAAATACCAACTACTTCAGAATTCCAGAGACGTATAATCTGATTGATGATCTGACGTCAAATACAAACAGCATCAAATGTGCTGAAAGGCCAATTGGTTCACATAAGGTCCAGTGACAGGCTTTAATGTCATCAAAAAATAATTTATATAATTTCAAGAGGATCAGCATGATTTTAACATACACTTACTGTTCTTGAAAATCTTTTGCACATTCAGAACAGGGGTAGAATTTTGAGAATGTTCTGAAGAAATTACTCATGTCTGATCTTTCTTCTGGAGTTGGTTTATCAGGATAATACGCAGCCATCGTATGAAGGAAACCCCAAGTCTTATTACCTAAAATAAGAATATATTAAAAAAATTTACCATTTAAACAGAAAACTGTCTTCACAGTCCCATTACATAAAAGCATCTCTTATTATAAATTTGCATGTAAATACATTTTAGAGCAAGTTTATAAATTCCTTGGGGATTTAAAAAATTACTATGTACCAATAAACACTGGGTTCAGTAAAGAATAAGTTCCTGCTTATGTACCATATCAATTCCGGCTCCTAATTTCTGAAAGTTACATCTAGATGAAAAGAAAAATGGCTGAAGTCTGATTATAACACACATTTATATATCACTTGACTGAACAAGTCAATTTACAGGATGGAGGGATAAAAACCCTGAAGAATATTTTGAAAGGCACACAACACAATATCCCTTTCATACCATAAAACATGCAACTGTTTTATGTGTTTGTCAAATTCAAATATAAGGTATCCAAACAGCATTTTGCACCACAAGCTAGAGAATATGCAATAAAAATAAAAGTACTTGAAATTATTTTATAACATTAATATTCTTATTAATTTTCCTGTTTCTGTATATGTATGAATTTTTGAATTGTTGAATGCACCTGTAACATGAGTTTTTGGCACAATGAAAAATATCTGTAAAATTTCACCTCAGTACTTCAACCACTAACATTACCTTCAAAAAAGACTTTCAAACATGTTACAAGATCCTCATCACACAAGCATAATACATTAATTTTTATCTCCTGAAAAGGCGATATTACTTTGTGTTCAGCAATACAGTTATTTCAAGACAATTAAAAACCTCACCTAATTCATCCCTATTTAGAGGACACTGTTTCTCACTGGAATTGTCATCTCTTTTACCCAGTGTTTCCTGGAATGAAGAAATATAATATGTATTTGTTTGATAAATAATGATACTCAGACTATTGAGCTAGATATCAGAACATACAATGTTAATGAATGGCCTTCTACATATATTTCCACCCATAACCTAAATTCTCGATGTTGTAACAACAGCCCGAACAAGATAACAATTCACAAATATTATCATTAAAAATTAACCTTTTCAAAATTTGTTCTTTGTTGCTTTGTCCAAGACTTGAAGTCCATGCAAGCTCGACAATATTTATTATGTGTTTCTGTATCATACATAGAACCGTTCCCACGTGCCGCCATTGTCTCTACAATATGAATGATGTAACAGTTTATACACATAAAACTGACAATCAGGGCTAGTACATATAAGCAACTAGGATAATACTATGATGAGCACAAACATAACAATTTATGCGTAAACAACTGGCAGCACAGTACTGTTAAAAGTGGTATATTCAAATAAAAGTAGTTAAGTGTTCAAGTAAGTCACAAATCAATTCATATTTTATGAAGCCGTCAAATCTTCTCAACTTGAAGTTGGATACCCTTGTGCTTTGACATGTTTGCCAATAGCGATATTAACAAAACAACTATTGCTGCCAACGTAATTTGTATTTGAAACTATTGTTGTGAAGTCATGTTCTGCAACAGAATACATTGTGTGAACATACACTCAAATATATTACGCACTTAATTTACAGTTATCTAGAGGTATGTGGCAATGTTTTATTCATTATGCCAATATTATGTTGTACATTGTATTGTCCGAGATATATTTCATGAGTTGGTTCTAATCATGTCTCCAAATGATTGGTTGTCATTATAATAGTAAAGCAGTCCGCTACACGCAGTGTAAGCATTTTGGGGAGAAACTGTATAGCTCTTATTCTTTACCTCGGCACTAGATGGGGGTAAGTGGTCAGTGTCACGCCCTTGGGAAGGTACCCCGGTACCTATTGGACAGGGTGGGGGGCACCAGCGCCGGTCTGGATGCGCTCAGGCCAGAGGAAAAAAATCCTCTGCTCCTGTTAGGGATCGAACCCTGGTCGTCCAGTCCATAGTCAGTCACTGTAGTGACTGGGCTATCCCAGCTCTGTTGGTTGCTATACTTACAAAATTTTATTGCAATTAAAGGCACTGGTTGGTATATAACAAGGTATCTTTCGAATATGAAGGTGGTATACAAAGCACTAGAGCAGCCCAGGAATGATGGTTATAACTGAAAATAACTAGTAATTCCTGGACTGCTTCAGTTGTTAACATACATACTGCACTGGTATTCAAAGGTTCTGAGAGCAATGCCATATTCACCACTTACAATGAAAGTTGTGAAATTATGCATATATCAGAAAATGGACAGTAGCCAAAAGACAAAAAGTTTGTGTTACCCAACTGTCCATTAAATAAAAAGAAATATTATATTTTCATAGCAACATCACACAGCAGTTTGTGAAAGTAGAATACTTGTTGCTTCTGTGAACTATTTTGATACAGAATTTATGAGTTCTGAATGTTAACTTTTCAGCAATGGATCCAACACTCATTGAAGAAAGTACTTCAAAGACTATTCCATACAACCTTGAAGTCCTTGTGAAATCTCTGGAACAATCTGAAGAAAGTATTTCGTCTACAAACGCAATTGATTTAATTGCTGCTTTGCTGTATGTCTTAATGATGGAAACAGGATATTCGCCTCTTGGTACAGGAAGCAATTCAATTTCCAGCAGTGATTATGGGTTCAATATTCATAAACTGAACTTTTTCTGCAGTATGCCAGCCAAATGGAAAAACATCCAACAAAACAGTTATGAGATGTCGTTTATCCTCGGGAGGTTCACTCATTATCCGTGCAGACTCCTTATAATACCAGTAGATGATGTTCTTATAATTAATTTACTCATTACAAACTTGATCCAAGAAAGGAACAGATATACCATGGGAATTCAACCTTCAAAATATGTTGTCAATCCAACATCCACCTGTATTCCAACAAAGTTCAGACATTTGAAAGATCTTTCCCTGAAGTTTAAAAACATTTTGTCACATCCTGCTCGAAGCGTCATTTTGACAAAGGAAGGTATACTGAATGCCAGTCTCTTAGGTATTCCAGATGAAGTTAAGATCAAAATATTTAAATATTTAAAAGTATCAGACTTGTTAAAAGTATCGTTAGTCTGTAAATATTTGTGTTGGGTGTCTGAAGATCAAGGTCTATGGAAGTATTTCCTTGTAAGAGATTTGAGATATGTAGATGTGGCAGATCTTATAAATCAACCAGGTGTGAGTAGTGTTACCTCTTGGAAGAATAAGTACAAAAGCAAATGTAGATGGCGTTCTGCTATACCTGTTCGGATTTTCTGAGTGATATGTAATTTTGTTCTACAGAACTAATAGTCTCTTAACGTGCCCCCAGTTGGGCAGAATGTAACATCGTATCAATTCCAAAAAACTAGGAACATAAAACTGAAAGGTACAATGGGGTTATTTATAGGCATATCAACAAAGCTGCTACAATGTTCATTTGTCCAAGGTTGTAAGTTCTGATGGACATGTCGCTTAATTAATTGCAAGCTTCATGAGTGAGGCTTCAGGTTCAGTTTACATGTTTTGAGATGGATGAGATCTTTGTGTTGTCAATACAGAAATCTGTGATCCACATGAAAAGACGTGGAATGACAGGGTACACAATGTGACATGTGGAGATTGCAGGGTTTTGAAGAAAGACCGTTGTAATCTTCAGGACTCAGTATCTGTCTGCAAGTCCACATGGTATCACACCTCACAACAAGATCAAAATCTTCACAGCTGTGAGAACGTCTATTGCGGAGTCTACATAAATAAAGTGTATTTATATATTTTTAATATATATACACACAAAAATGTGATTATAAAATTTAGACATGAACTTAAAGCTGAAGTACTAGTTTTTGTTAAATTATATATAATATGAAATATACAGTTGCAAACATATTCATCTGTAATTTTTGGATTTATGTATGCCTGTACCCTGACACCGGCAGTATACCAAAATATGTGTCTGATTAATAAAGAACATGTGAGATTAAACGGCAGTGGGAGTGAGCATGATTTTTGTTTTCTGTAATTCACGTCCCCTCCTCCTCTTCCTCAGCAGACATAACTGTCTTTAGTAGGATTTGAGGTTTTCATAGTGTTACAACCCAGAAGAGTCCCATGGCATAGCCGCGTGGTCTGAGGCATCATGCTTCGGACCGACGATACGGAATGCGTGCCAGTTCGAGTCTCGGGAAAGGAAATTTCTCATGAGATTTTCAACTGGTGTATGGGTCCGGTGCCAACCCAGCATCGTGAGGAAATTGGGGAGCTACAATGAGTAGCGTAATCCGGTCAGGAAAGCTAGCAATGGCTGGGGGTTCGTCGTGCTGACCACACGTCATCCTATATCTGGTTGGATGATCGTTCACCTCTGCTTAGGCATGTGAACGTGAGGCCAGCAGCCAGCTAGTTGGCTTTGGCTCTCAGAGGGCTGTTATGCCACGGATTATTATTATTATTACAACCCAGAAGACAACCATCTTAATGTCATTACATGAGTAGGCAATTAACAAACAGCACACTGTATATGGCAGTTTCAGGACCTGTATCTGGTGGCAGAAAGGAAAAATTCAATGCATCTGTCAGGAAAGATACTGTCATTCAGCAGCTACACATTTGTTGTTTCTATATACAATTTCACTTCAAGAATCTGCCATGTGTTACCTGCAATACAGTGCTAAAATACAATTCGCAAAGACATTTCATCATTCAGATATCCACGAAGGGCAGAAAACACTTTAACTTTGCATGTTCTAATGAATCACTGTATTTTGTGCTATTAGCCGAACTTTCATAGTTAGGTTGGAAAATTAAACAAACACTTTACACAAGGGCATAAGATTCTTGTGACCCTTTCAAACTGAAGCTCAACTTCTGGGTTGTTGCACCATGTAGACTGGTAGAAGTTTACTGGCATTTTAGAGGTCCTTCCTGCTTCTACCATCAGGGTGATGAGGCCATGATGATGGAGGCAGGAAGGACCTCTGAATAGTCGGTCAACTTCTACCAGACTACTGGTGCAACAACCCAGAAGACAGCCATCTTCAGACACATCGCTGAGAAAACCTCAAATCCTAGAAATATGACATGAATGAAACTTCCTTGTGTTGAAGCGTGACATAATTTAATGCAGCATTATCCTTTCAAATCATATCAGAAATACAAAAGTTACAATTCTTTTAGAGTACATTAAATGTGAAATCATCTTCATGGCAACTGAAGGTGTTTCCTGAAAAATGCACCAACTCAAAACCGAACAAATGACCCCAGATTACCGTCAGATACAGACCCTACTTTAAATGTGAAATCATCTTCACGGCAACCGAAGGTGTTTCCTGAAAAATGCACCAACTCAAAACCGAACAAATGACCCCAGATTACCGTCAGATACAGACCCTACCAAAGGACCACCATGGACTTGCTTGCATTTCTTGCTACCAGAGTCATCACCATCAGAACTTTGTTTCAGTGTTCTCAGCATCACACAAATTGCGCACGTGTACCATCAATTGTGATGGATATTGGCCATTAAATTAAGAGTAAATACATTATGTTAAATCAAAAGGAAATGATAATTTTATCTTGGAAGTATAATATTCAAAAGTCTCTCAGGTCTAAGCAATCTTGAAATAAAATCCTTGAAGAGAGACTAACTTCATGGTAGCAGCCACTATGTATCAAATGTAGGCCGATTTCTTCACGACAGATTTACTGCCATACAGTCTGCTACCCATAAGCAGATAGTAGTGCAGTCCTCTGGGTCAAATGCTCCAACAGCATCAAATACACAGGCATGGCATACTGGTTCATAACAAGTATTTATCAGGGCTGGACAGTAACAGATCAGATCACATCACATATTGCTAAAAGAAGTTTAAAGAGGTCAGATATGCTAATAAATAATTATTTATTTGTGTTCTATCGCTATGCCTGCTGAGACATTGTCATTTACCATACCAGTCTGCCGAAGTTCATGTTGATAAAATTATTCTTTCTGAAGTGAGAAAAGTTTTAAGAAAAACTGTGGAAGAGCAGTGACAAATAATGTTATTCAAAGTAAAGTAAAATTAAAGCTGTCCTACTATATGCCTTGTAGGCATTTGGGGGGAGAGAACTATAGCTAATACTCATTCATGACCTCAGCACTAGATAGGAGTGAGTGGTCAGCATCACGCCCCGGCCGCGCTTTCCCCCTGGGAAAGGACCCCGGTACCCCTTGTATAGGAGGCTGGGTGGACCCCAGAGCTGGTCTGGATGCAGAGGCTAGAGGAAAAATCCTCTGCCCCCATCAGAGATCAAATCCCAGTAGTCCAGTCCGTACCCAGTCATTATACTGACTGAGCTACGCTGGCTCAAAATGTTATGCATATAGAAAAATAAATCTATTAATCCGGTCACAAGGCACATGACAAGCAGCCACACTACATTAACAATCAAACTGAAAGCATTTTTGTTGGCAAAATAAGTGAGAATCTACATGGGCTGTTGTGGATATAAATTACTTTAATAATAAATGTTTTGCTCATTACGGATTTCTCTCAATTAAAGGGCTTCATTATTTGTAATCTGCCTGTTGATAATGGCGGCAGCATCCTCGCTGTCCAGCATTGTCAAGTGGTTGCCGTCCACAAAATATACCTCTGCCTTTTTTTCACAACACTGCAACACAAGATCAAACATGTACACTTATGCACCCACTGGGCAGCTGACAGTGTGAACACTTCTCTCTGCGGACAAGCAAACAAGAACATCATTTAGTTTAACGCTTACTGCTACTGAAGAATGTGTCAGCTCATTGTATGGTTGATTTATTTATATGTGTGCCAGTCTGTAAGGCTATTTCATCATCATCTATGGTGCTTCGGCCTGTTTTTGGGAAATGACCTCCTCCTAATGCAATTTACACCTGTACATAATTCAGTGTCACAGCTCACATCTTGATACACTAAAAATTCCAGAGGGTGCAACTTGTTTAGAATAAAGCATGAGTGAATACTAACCTTTGAGAGTCCATAATCATCCGATGATTTCACTGGCATTGCAACAGGCCTCAGAAGGGTGGTTTCAGCCCTGACCTTTTTCGTGTAGTCCCACTCATAGTTTGAAATGGTTTTAAGTCGATCCAAGACACACAAACTAGCAGCTTTGTAGTACTCTGCACTGTTTCTCAACACAGGAAATTTACTGATGACATGATCTAACTTCTCGTCCCAGCTTATCAGAGGTGTGATCTCCTGAACCAACTGTCAATATGTACAAGATGAACATTAAATAACTTTGGCATAGATTCTACAAAAATATTGAAGTGTATATTAGTCACAATTAAGACGCACATATTACTGGAAGACCATGTAAGTGAAATGGAAAATGAATTATGAGAAATAACGGTATTAGCGTTTTAACATTTGTCATTAAGTACCTTAGTGATGGCTGCTGATGTGGCATTACGTGGTGAAACAATTCTGAATATATTGCATATGACATTGATCTGAAACTGATCCTCATTCCTGCCAACAGTTTTTTCCACCAGCATCTTCATGAAATCTGGAGAACTGTCCAGTAGGTACAGCTTCCCCTCCCGCCCCTCTGCCTCAAGTTTAAGTGCCAGTTCCAGAGCCAG